AGGCTTGACAAATCTTCTACCGGAACAGGACATAATATTTAATAATGTCAACTGTAGATAGCAACAATTTCTAACCACCTTTTTAGATTGGCAGAACTGGTCTTTATTAACGATATCTAACTTTTATAATCTGGAACAAATCAATCAAAAACAGGCAAATGAAAATTTAACAAAATTTAAGAAAGTTGAAGAATTTTAGTTTTTGTAAAAATTTAATTCTCATTGACAGAAATATAAATATAACATTTAAATTCTAACGAGTATTAAATACTTACGCTGTTGCTGACAATATTCTAGAGGTTTATCAAATCACTTGTCACCTTCCCTTATTCACATACGATTCAGAATTTTGTGAATAACACGGTTTTAGGCCTATTCCATAGAATAAATAAACCTATTCTGTGTTTGTTGAGAGGCCTGTGAATACATGTTATTCCCTCTTACAGCTTACATATTTACGTAGGAGGCGCCTTTGTCTGTTTTACCAATAACTGCTTGGAATCAATCCATGGTGTGGACAACGCAGTGGAAAACATCATATATTGAGGTAAATGAATCATACACATACTGTAGTCAAACTGGTAAGTTATCGTCAAATATCTAGCCTATGTGAAATTATACGCATGGTTTTTAATCTAACAAGATAAAGTATAAAATTCCTAGTCTAAACCCTGTTGTCAACGAAACACTCGATTATTACGATTTAGATTTAGTCTTGATAAGAAAGACATAAACAATAGATAAACCATCAAAAATTATACAGTAAAACTAAAAAATAATAGTTTGAAAGTGTTAGTACAGTAATAGGTAAATATAACAACCAATAACAATGAATACTTTTACAAACAGCATGTATCGATCTAACATTACCTACAACTTGGAAAAGGCAACGATTAAATGGGATGTACAGTACACTGAACTAAATTTAAGTCATGTCGAAATAAAAATGTTCTTAACATTTGTCCTAACATCAGCCTCATTTTTAGTAAATTAAGTTATAAAAACTACAATAGCAGTCATTTTTTAACCATAAAATATTTTAATGATAATTTTCCCGAAAATAGCTTATTGTTTTTAAAATTTAAAATCATATGCTATACCAAATCCGATGAAAATATATATTTTTATGCTGAAATATTATGGGGAGTGAGCCAGTCTCTGAGGTCCCGGGTTCAAATCCCGCCAATTCACCAATGGATTTGATTTAAAATTCCGCAACCCCTGGTCTAGCCCGAAGTAATGTGAAAAATAGTCCCAGGCTCGTGTCTAGCATCTTAGGACAAAAATATTCTTAAAATAAAAATTGAAACAATGAGAAAATGTGGTTTTGAAAAAATGTATTCTTAATTTTATTTTAAATATTTTCTCATAGAACATATTACTAAATATTTCTACTTAAAGTACACCAATTTAATCAGCGATCATTTTTTTATTTTTCAAAACTAACCAACATAGTGTTCAAATAGTTTACAATATCATCAAGCATTTAATGAAATATAATTACTTACCTTGTAATTACACATATTAAAGTCAGAAAAATATGCGAAACATTAATTTATTATACTAGTTAAATTTCGGTTGGATGTAACTATTCACATTAAAAACCACATACACTAATATTTTCATCAACAAAAATTAGCAATACAATTAAATCAGTACTGTATGAAGGTACCGTATTGTTTTACAAGGTAGCCTACGCGTTGAAATGATGAACACCAACTAGACTACTATATTCACAGTTGTCGTGCTAAATTGTGACCCAATTACGTTCGAACTATTTTAATTCTCATAATTAATACCAGGAACTTTCAGTTTTAGCAAAATTCACTATAGGAACGAAGCTATTAGGCCTACCTACCGTAGGTGGCAGTGAAAGGAATAGACCCGGGACCGATATACTTTTTTTTCAGGTCCCCAGAAGTCAAAAAACACCTTTCTTTTAAATTCGCATATACAGTATGTAGCCTATATGTGTGTTCGTGAACGGGATAGCTCGATTAGTTTTGGTTAGATTTTGATAAAATTCGGCTTGAAGGTGAGGGGCGGGATGAATTGACTTGAATAAGTTTGCGAACCAGCAAGATCGGGTGTATTATGGGGCTTTGAAATATTCTAAGTTTTTATTTTTATTTTTGCCCTTTAAATGCCTAATTTCCTTTGCAACCATCGTTTAGAGCTTAAAAAAAATTTGTGTTTTGTACAGTTAAAAAAGTTAACGGATAGTCCAGGCAAATTAGATCAAATATAGGGAGTGCTCCCCAAAAAATCGTCTAAAGCTGGAAAGTGTTTTAATACCTTTTGGGGGTCCCAAATAAGAGTCCTGTGAGTTTGCGACGGATTCTGACGTCTGCTTAAGTTTTGGGAGTCGAAAAACTATGAAAATTTTGCACTTTTTTCAGTTTTTCGCTTATAACTCCTAAATAACGAATCCTACGGAAAATGTTGTTCATAGTTCTCTTTTAGTGCATTAAATTCTGCGTCGATTGGTGTTAAATACGTCAAAATCTGCCGAGCCATTTAGCCACTGTAGCTTTTTAAAGTTAGGTCATTTTCATCAACATGGCCAAAAAGTTGATTATTTGACCAGTTTTCGGCTTACAACTCCTAATCGACGCTTGCTATACAAAAATGCACCTGTAGTGAGTTTGGAAAACACAAAATTCTGCGTAATATGTTTTTTTACTAATCAATAATGGCAATTGGTTGCTACCTACTTTGTATGGTCACCATTTCATTGAAAAAATATTAATACTAAATATTAGTTTTAGTAAAATTTTCCAACTTTAACTTTAATATTTTTTCAATGAAATGGCGACCATACAAAGTAGGTAGCAATCAATTACCATTATTGATTGGTAAAAAAACATATTACGCAGAAATTTGTGTTTTCCAAACTCACTACAGGTGCATTTTTGTATAGCAAGCGTCGATTAGGAGTTGTAAGCCGAAAACTGGTCAAATAATCAACTTTTTGGCCATGTTGATGAAAATGACCTAACTTTAAAAAGCTACAGCGGCTAAATGGCTCAGCCGATTTTGACGTATTTAACACCAATCGACGCAGGATTTAATGTACTAAAAGAGACCTATGAACAACATTTTCCGTAGGATTCGTTATTTAGGAGTTATAAGCGAAAAACTGAAAAAAGTGCAAAATTTTCATAGTTTTTCGACTCCCAAAACTTAAGCAGACGTCAGAATCCGTCGCAAACTCACAGGACTCTTATTTGGGACCCCCAAAAGGTATTAAAACACTTTCCAGCTTTAGACGATTTTTGGGGAGCATATGTCTAATTTGCCTGGGCTAGGAGAAAATTCTCAAAAACTTTACATTTAATTTCCATGTTAATCATTAAAACATTTGTTATTAATATAAAAAGAAAACAGTTGTAGTTTGCTTGTTAGTGGATATATTTTTGTAAAATTTGTCAAATCAATGTTTTCATCCTGTACTAGTATCATTTGATAAAAAACACTTTTGATGACCTACCAGCCTATGTGAAATTATAAACATGTGTTTGTGTAGTTGAACAAGATAAGATGTCAAGTTCCTAGATTAATCTACAGATTTTGTCAACGGAACCACTTCTGTACAAACAACACTTATAGCCATTGACTTTAGAATATGTACTCGTAATTCTATGGTAGAACAAGAAGTTTCAGGTTTAGTGTGAATGTGCTTATGTTGACTGAAATAAGTTCTCCTTATTTTGCAGTAAATTATAGTCATGTGCTTTACCCTATTGCACCGTAAGCGCTATCAAGTTTGCACGTGTAGGCTCATTCTTCAAAAAGTTTGTTATTTTTTAAATAATATAGAAATTAATTACTTAATGAAACGTGTACATGCTGTATGTATATAATCTTGCAGAAACAAGCTGGCAATTGGTTTAATTGCAAACAAGGTAAGGTATATGAGTATACCAATTATATGTGGCCTGATTTTATTTTTTTCATGGAAGCGACATGTTGTCAAAACGAAAGATGTGGATTTAAATCAGCTTATGTCATCATCACTAAGTCGGTGCCCATACCACAACGAATTTCTACATGAATATAACAAAATTCTTACTAAAATAATCAAGTGAATAAATTTTAATCCTTTTAAAGTAAATTGATTAACTGTAAAATCAACAAATAGCTCACAACAAAAACAAAAACGATTAAATTAACTTGCTATCATTGAAACAGTAAAAATAATGATGTCAACATTTATAAACATTTTGCTGTCACTCAAAACTTACGTAGATAATTGCCAGCATTACGTGTGACTGGGGCCAAATGAGTAAGATAGACTTTATCTTATCTTCAAGATATGGCGTACAACTACAGTTTAAATTGTAAGTTGTTTACCTGATTCTACTCACCTTCATTTACAAAAGCGTTTATGAAATAATCCGTAGGTTTAAAAGATTAACACTTTCACTTTCGTCCAACGTAATAACAAAAACTACTGTTAATTCAGTGATGTTTATCCAAAAGAAGTTTGTTATATAAATATTTATTATATAGTTGTTTGATTTTTTTAATAATACAGGTTTAGGACATGACTATGAATTTTCTTAAGCAAGGGTGTAAGAGTTAGGACAAACTGTTACTTCCTACTGTTATTATTAGAGATTATTCTTTCTTAATCTACCATGAGGTATTAGTAGAAAGATCGGGATGCTATTATTATTTGAATTTTTTTTTTGTATATTAATTCTAAATCTCATTCGACATTATTACTTAAACTATAAAACGTGTATGACTATACAGTTGAATTAGGAACTAATCACTATATTTCTGACCATAAACACTACTTTATGGGACAAAATAAAAAATAGTACTTTTACCATCCAAACTCCAAACCTAAAACACTATAATTGTCTTTAAGGCTAATTTAATACAATCACATTTTTTGTCAATAAAAGATTTCATTTTTTACCTTAAAATGAGTTTAGAAAACTTAACTTAAAAACAAAAGTTATAAAGTTGTGACACTAGAAAAAATTACTTACGTGACTGAAAATCCTAAAAACTACAAGCACTCTTAAAAAGAAATTCGATTCGTAATATTTCAAGTTAAAACCACTTTAAACATAACCTAACCTGTCCTTCGGGTTGTGAGGTTGGCGGCAAACTGCCCGCGGCGGTGCACATCGGATCAGCTGACCGTTTGTTGAAGACTGCGACAATCAGCTGATGCGGAGTTTGAGGTTATGTTTGCTCTTCTGAAACCTTACATGGGTAATCGTTATCAGTTCATGAACGTGATTTAACTTGCCTTGAAGTAAAGCTTATCGATTCTGAATCATTCAGCCAAACAAAGTATGAGTTGGTTAATGACGTCGGTTTATAATGGTTTAGGATTGAGAGTCATATTTTATATTTGCGTTGTTACTCTATTTACCTTTTAGCTATTATGTGACCAAACGATATATTTTATACAATGTTGAAAATTGAAATTTGTTGATGGAATTAATCAATAAAATTATTAAATCAATGGATGGAATCTTTAAACAATAAAGAAACTAAATTAATTTCTGCTAAACAAAATCATGGAAAAAGACCATACGCGTTATATTAAAAAACGGCGTTTTTTTCTTTTTTGAATTCCCTTTTGACTTTTTTTTCAAACTACAAGATTAATTAAACTACCTATTCGTGAGCCTTGGCATCCAAACTGTGAACAACTTTCTCAAATAAATAGTGAAATTGAATGATTTAAAACTATACTGCCGTAATATTGAATGATTTAAAACTATACTATAATAATACATTTAGAAGGTAAACTCAACATTTGGAGGAACTCAATATTCCATACTATTTATGCACCTTGAAAAGTAACTAGTACCATAGATAAAAGGAGTAGACTATAGATAAATAGTAGTGTCAACTCCTTTTATCTATGCTAGTACATTAATTTAAGGGAATATAATTTTTTGAACCTACGAACATAGGTGTTATCAATGTTTGGCCAAAATAACTTTTTTCTTTCAAATACTCGCTATCTAATAATCTAAACTAATGTTATTTTAGGAAAGAAGCTCTTCAAGTTAGGGTTTAATATGTAGGTCAGGGGCACGCACTTAACGATCTTAGACAATCGATAGTAAGATAAAATACAACACCTCCCTTTGCTGCAAACCTGCATGATCGAAATTTATTTTTAGGCAACGAGGCAAAAAGCAATGTTCCGCGATAAAAATAACACTGTGAAAGAGTATTTAGGTGTGCTGCTACGCGGGGAACAACCATTTGTTTTTCTTCAATTTGAAGAGCCGTTGTATATCAGAAAATATATTTATAATGCTTATTTTGGTCGTAAGGTAAAATAGAAGATTACGTTCTGTATTTTGCAGTCCAAACATTTCTGTAAACAATAATAATTGTAGCCCTGCAACGTAATGTATGAAATTGGGGGGTTTAAGCATAATTTAATGGTTAAAAAAATAAATTAGTTATATCCGCTACTTAAAAATTAACTGCTACCACACAAAAACTGCTGGACCAAATACAGTACCTCTAAATTTTGAACGAAACAACCTACATACCTACCTTATTTTACTATATGAATACTCTCGTCACAATTTTGAAATTGAAAAGTTCCGAGTTTTTCTTTTAAAAATAATTTTGTACTATGCGTGCACCAGAGGGAATCAAACCTAAACATTTTCTTAAGCGTATTCATAAAGTTGAAGGAAAAGTAACGTAAATCTAATTTTCATATTTGTTACCTTGAACATAACCCTTCTGTTACAAGTAGTGAAATATACTAACAAAATTACCCAGAATTCTTAAATGTTTTAATAATTAGTCATTAGACACATCTGCCAACCGTTACTTGTTCGTCAAAACCAAAATATAAATATGTCAAGATTTTCATTTTGAGTCTCCTGCATCGTCTACAATTAAGGTGAGAAAAGTATGATGAAAGTAAGGATTACATTACAGCAGAGATGATACAATAGCAGTGTTACACATGAAGCCCTACCAATACTACACGATTACCTACCTACCGTCTAGCAGTGGTATACACGTGCTGCTATGGTGGCCGAGCATTGCTACAGGAACAGTCCAACAAGCTTACTACAGTATTGTAAGGGTAAACTTGGTATTATGGTTGCCAAACTTTGCTAGAGGATACAATAAACACGCTCTTGCCTACCTACCAGCAACCAAAGAACAATACGCTACTTACCGTCCTGCAGTGGTATACACTGGCTGCTTATGGTGGCCGATCTTTGCTAAAGGAACAGTCCAACAAGCTTACTACATTATTGTAAGGGTAAACTTGCTAATATGGTTGCCTGAGAAGACAAAAAAACTATACGTCTAATAACACTTTGTAAAGTGTTATTAGCAGATTGTGCTACATGTTCATCATGCTATTGTGTGTGCTACTAGTGTTATTAGACGTATATATATATTTTTTAAGTCAATTTAATAACACGTAAGATGCTGATCAAGAAGTTATTACCATGGTTGCCAAACTTTGCTAGAGGATACAATAAACACGCAGAATCTAAGCCTATCTCGCGTTCTGCAATACTCTAAACCCCAGAGCTGCTGTATCTGCATGTAGCATTTCTCGGCCCATTTTGTACTGTACAATGGTGCTGGGGATGTCAGTGATTCCATTCGCGATATTTCCATTTTAAGTAATCTGATTGAGAGTAAAACAAGGTGGTTACAAATAAGGTTGCTAAACATTGTAGGTTCTACAGAATACAATGAGTAGACCACAATACAATTTGTATTGTATTGTGGTTGCCGAACTTTGCCAGAAACGCAATATTCTATGTTGGTTCTACAGTGGTGAACTTGCTATGGCTGCCAAACTTTGCTAGAGAATACAAGTGACATGAGGATTCAAAAATATCCCTGGGCAGTTTCAAAACGATATCTTTCTTCCACACCCCACACAGTCCACCTGGTAGACCAATTATCTACAGACTGATTAAATTAACCCAAGGGAGGTCAGCAAGCGAATTGCAGACATCCATGCATGTTACTGATAGTGAGCTAAAAGTAGAGATAACTGCATTATCTAGGGAAACGGCAATCTTTTGATGAATACACAATGTAAAATTAATAACATAATTAACACTACTTTTAACTGCGTCGCAACGGTAGCTGTCATTTAATACACAAATTTATAAAATACTACTTACAACACAATATTCGTATTTGAATTTTACATGTTCGCAATACTAGAATAGTAGTTTACGCAACGATTGCGTTAAGTTAGTCTTTACGACACGAGTAGAAAATTTAAGGCACGAGCCTTGGCGATTGCCTTAAAAACATCTACGAGTGTCGTAAAGACTATTAACGCGAGTTGCGTACACTACTTTAACTACGACAGTTTTTTAATTACTAAAAATCACTACTCATTACTTCTTAGAGAGGTTATGTTTTCGTTTATTGTCAGTGCCAATGAAAGGAAAGTGATGCAACGACTTATTGTATAATCAGCTGATTTCCTGTAATTACGTGTTTGTAAAACTTCGTTAAAAAAATACGTTACCTTTTTAAGGGAATGTGTTCTGCTAGCAGCATTCTTACCATAAATACTGCATCAGGTACAATTAGGAAAATTTTGCATTTTGTTTTTGACAATTAAATGATTATAGTGACACAGTTAATTTACAGTTAGATCTCAGCATCGAATATTATAGAATATTATAAACAGTTTGTTCTCTCATTTCCATCTCGTCAACTTCACTTTCACTAACTGACATTATTAAATCAGTTTAATCTACCTTCCTTCAACTTCCACAAACTTAGGTTAAGAATACGCGAGTATCAACCGGAACAAGTAAGATCAACAATTAAATTGGTCAACTGATCAGCTGATCAGCTGATTAGTTGACGTTCGAAGAATTACAATTTTAATTCTTTTCTCTCAATCCTTGAACCTCATTGGTCCGTTACCCGTGTTGTAATGAGAAAAACTATGCTGATATGAAATGAAACTATGCTGATATGAAAGTAAACAGCTGTTAAGTGAAACTTTTCAATTCTAAGAACTGAACTGAAATGGCTACTTTAAAAAACGGTTGTAGGTAAAAATAATTTTAATTGACAACTTTCATAGCTTTCGTACAGTCCCCGATTGGGGATGATGAACAACCTGTGTTAACTGCTCGAAATCGACCACCATTGTAACGACTCTTGAGAATTTCATAAGTGTGATAAAATTCACACTCAATCAATTCAATCAATCATTTCAATTTCTTGTGTTTTGTGTGTGATATATATATTTATCACACACAATTTGAAGACGTATTTCATTGTATTGGTCGTTAAAATAACCACCAAAATTAAAATGTGGCAATGTGGTGGATAAACAGTTAGGATATTCGAATATACGTACGAAAAGATTCTGGACGTACAGCAAACGTTTTTCTCCAATATATTGAGTTACTCTAAGTGCAGATGACATGTCATGGGGGGGGGGGGGGTTAAGCTCACGTAACAAGTAATCTGTATAAAAGCTAACAAGAATAGTAACCCCTAAGCTTATTTTAACGATCAGATCTGCCTAACAACGTAAAAAGCATTCTTGAAAATACTCTACGTTCCTTTGATATGGTAGCCAATACAATAACCATCGTGCGTGTACACTGGGTTTCTTTTCCATAAACTTTTTTTATTGTTATAAAATATTCAAAAAAATTACACCTGTGGTCAGTGAATATTTCTGTAGAAGCATCAGAGCCCAAGAAATTAGTATTATGCCTATATGTATAGGGCCTACACGTTTATTTAGTGCAACTAACAGTGCATAAAAGCATCTCCAACTCTTTTGACCAACTCAAAACTGACTGTGTACATTCTGGTTTCACATTATATGATTTTTATTGGTCAATTACAGTTATTGAAAGACAACTAAAACATATATATCTCTCTAAGTTGAGCCATAGAGAAGTTGAGTCTGAAATCACATTTTCCACAGATTAAACAAACCCCCCTTTTCTTCTTTCATTTTCCCAAGCTGATGACACTTTTAAGGTTAAATGTGTCCGTGTTTGAATTAGAGGACGGTGATTTTTTGTTTGTTTCTTCTTATTCGACCAATTTTAAAGCCATTTTATCTCGAATACAACAATATTTTCGTGAGCTATTGCAAGCACAAATTGTAAAACGTTTGATATGA